GAGAGAGAGAGAGAGAGAGAGAGAGAGAGAGAGAGAGAGAGAGAGAGAGAGAGAGAGAGAGAGAGGGACCTTGGCCGGAGGGAGGTGGGTGTACGTGACTGTGTGTTTGTAACAGTAACAGTATTTATTCTTTAAGTCTTCGGGGGAAATTGCAGATAATAAACCGCTTAAAAGACGTCACGCACTTTCAAAACAAGTACAGTACTTTTTTTCCCTCTCTAGTTCCAAGACAAAAACATTCATTGATGCTAAATGTGAATGAATTCAGTTTATGAAACAGAACGTCGCGACCTCAGGGAATGCAAGTAGAACTTTTTTTCTTTTTTCGACCATCCAGATAAAGTATCGTTGATAACTACCTCTGAAGTTCGAATAGGATAACGAGGAAGAAAATCTGTGTAAAGACCAACATGTACGAATAATTAAAGCACCAGTCAAATACTGTGCCTCTCTTGGGTTGAAAAGTGAGTCAAAACGTCTTTGAGCTACGAGATTTTGTAGAACGTCACAGATACCTGATTGTAACAAAAGTTTTCCTGTACCCTATTATGGATACAGACCTGTAGTTTGTTCACTTTGGAGAGGGATAGTCTGTTTTTTTTAAAGTTTTAGTAGAGGTTTTACGGCGCTCGCAAATGCATAAGGTCATATGAGCGCCAGGATAGTTTGTGGGAACAGGGAGACAAAAGAGGTTGATTTGAACAGGCTTGTCCACTTTCTCCTTTCCTGCTTGAACTTCTACCTTTTTTCTCACTCATTCCCTTTCCTACGTCCCACAGCTGACAAACAGCACGTGCAAAACAGACAAATGAGATGATTATGACTTTGCCTTACAATGACACCAATCAAAGCTTGGAAAAAAAGACAATACAGAAAAACAATAGTATGACGTTACTCAGCTGATTTCATTGTAATACACATATGTATTTATTACAGCTTTTGGTTTCACATTATGCTTCAACATTTAGGCAGTCGTACCTGATAATTATTATGTAACGGGTTTCGTACATAACTAACAACAATAACTATGGTAAGACAGGGGAGACCTGCCAATATGCAGCGAGAGGCGCTAAGGTAACACAGGCAAAAGGTTATTGGTAAACAGCTAAAACTGCTAACTTAAACATAGACATGTGACTTCTAAGACCATCTATCTTACTTAGAAAATAAATTAATGTATCACAGATTCAAAATTATGTACACATTCATGTCAAGATCACCTCAATGTGAACATTGTATGCTAATCTCGCAAATCATACCATTTCTAACATCCAAATAATACACCAATGTAAACATATAAAAATCACATCAGTGTCAATATTGCAAGATCACATTAATTCTAACATTTCAAGATCACATCAATGTCAACATCGCAAGCTCAGATCAATCTTCGACCACTGAAAAGCATAATATTATTAATGCTAACAGACGTTTCCACAAATATCTCAAGTTTCCAGAAAGGGGTTGCTTCGGCTGAAAATGAGACAGAGCGACCACAGTCTTTTTATGTGGTAAAAAAAAAGAGATTGGGATGTTCCCAAAAGTGTTTGAAGCATGAAAGGTCTTTCCCTTTGACAAACAGTCTTGAAACATCATGGTTTGTTTTTTAAATACTTACAGTTTATGGAACAATATTATTAAGGGGAGGAATCAGCCATAGCAGAATATTAATTGTCAAATGCATCATATCAGTTTTGTTGTATATCCATTTTAAAAACAACAAATAATACAAATAATCACCAAAAACTTGATACACAAAATCAAATGCTTAGTTGTTGCATGTTGATATTTTCCCAAAAAGTGAGTTTTGTATGAAAGCATGAAGTAAAAACGATGGAGTCGCATGCTTCCTTTGATTAAATAGGAATACTAACTTCTGCACAAGAAAAATGGCAAAAAATGCATTTTTATTTATTTTAGCGCCCCATTAGGCACAGTTTAAAAAATTAAGGGGCAGGTTATTTCAACCCCGTCTGTCAGGGCTAACCGGGCTGAGAGGGATACAACGTCCTTTAACAAAGATGTTCTTATTTTACTTGTACTTCTTTAAATTTCCAGACTTTTAATTTGTGATAGGCGCTTGAAAGCAGGCGGTGCATTTTTACATACTGCCATACAGCTAGTCTGCGCTTATAGGAAGATGATTTGGTTTGGCATAATTCTGCGATGCATGGCATAGATCTAGTTCTTTTTTAAAATTTTATATGAGGCTCAAAATCGTAACTTGCTGATAACCCACTGATTTTATCAGTAGAGTTGAAAAGAGCGGTTGTTAAATATCTCCACGATAACAGCCGAGTACTCATTTCCAGTGACACGATTATCATAGCACGTGCGCACTCAAGATAAATAAGAAACGTGATTGTGTCAAGTGTTAATGATACTATGCCTCTGATGTCTATCGTTATTGTCCAAGTCTGAGTTGATCGTCTCAAAATATAAATAACTAATATATAGTAAGTTGATATTTTAAAGTTCGCGATAAAAATGTATCAATACTAATACTTGCTGTCAGATCACAATTTATTTATAGAAAGATATCAATACTATCTCCCTTAAAAAACTAAAAACGGCGTTAAAACAAATCCCAAAACAAACGTCAATGATAACATTTAAGCTAGGCGTTCTACGTGCAAGTTACACATTATCATCACATTAAACAACATGGCATGTAAAATTATTCAATATCAAAGGTCGCCATACGTGGGCTACTTGGGACTTGAACGAATTATCTCATGCTTTTGAAAGCTTGAAAGTAAGAACTATTCAAGAGAAACACTTGCAAGGGAAAATTATATAAAGCTGTATTCAACGGTCACTCTTGGTAATAAAAATCAACAATGCTTTGGTAAAAATGAGACACCAGTTTTGATTTGGCACTCTTGTCAAGAACAGCGGGAATACTCGCTCCATAATGGGAAACAGGAACAAAAAGAACAATAATGTAATTACAATGAACAAGGAGAAATGTAACGGACCGCACCGTTCTAAAAACAACGAACACAGTCAATCACGGTGGGCGAAGGGGAACAACTTTGATTATTTAAGCAATAGGTTTGATTACAGCCCTTTGAACGTTTGCTCCACATTGCCTTTAAATATTTTGTACTATCTCATCACTTTGTTTAAACTCAGAGCCACTTCTGTGACACTGCGTGTTCAGTGTTCAGTAATTAGAGTTAATACGTTATAGAAAAAAATCCCAGCAAGCATAGTTTTGAGATTTCGGTAAATCGTCGTCGACGTTCATCATTGTCGTATGTCAAAACGTTAGGTTTCCAGAAAAAAAGAGTTGTTATTTCGCTTATTAAAGCATTATTTTAATTAATCTACAGGGCACTGCATAAAGGGGGGGGACTGGATTTGCTGAAGCCCCACCCAAACTTTGGTTCACTCACCGCCACAGACACTTACACAATCTGCATAAAGGGGGGGGGGGGTGAGGGAAAAGCAGACAGAAAAAGAGATGGGAAGACAACATAACGGAATTGACAGGTTTAAAGCTGTGTAAAGCCCTCCAAAAGGCTGAAAATAGAGAAGGATCGAGACAAGTGGTTGCACGATCATCCTTGGTGCCCCAAAGGTCATCCAGACTAAGGGATTATTGAAGTGAAGCTGTTATCTTAATGTATAAGGAGGAATACCACTTGTACCCATCGAACGGTCCATTAAACTACAACATACTTGATTTCAATTTTTTCTACAATGTTGAATGGCGACGACGAAATTAACATAGAAATTTTTTTCAGAACATGTTATGCCTTTTCGGGGCTTTTGTTCTATTCTGTAGCAATTTTATTTTTTCTGAATTCGAAAAAGAAACCCTTTAAAAGCTTGAATTACTGAATTACAACTGTGAAAACGGGGATTTGTTAACAGTAACATTTTCGGGCTCTAATGGAAGAACTTTAAACAGCCTTAATAGCTGTGACTAAAACTCCCAAAGAGTCGGACATTGGAATCAGTGCAAGGCGACTCGCAGATCGCGTTGTAGAGCCTTGTTCTAAGGGCTTATTATTAATTTAGGTACACGTGCTTGTAATCGGTGGAGATGTTTTATTTTAGTCCTACCGTCTCAATAAACAAGTAGAAATACCACAAAATCTGGCCTTGGGAGACATAGACACCATCAGGTTGAGGGAGTGTAAACAGAACTTGGTTCACGGCTCCTTCTCAAATGTCATACAACTTAAAGTAGAGCTGAAGGAAGCACACCTTTTTTCTGTACTGAGTACTTCTCCATTTTTTGTCGTCTCCTTTTAAGAAAAGAATGCTTGGTTTTTTAACCGGATATCAAACTTTGCAGTCTCTGCCATCCGAAGGAGAATCAAGTATTAGAATTAAGTAAGTCATAATAATATGATTCTCAGAATTGTTCATCTCTCCTTAGAATTTGGATTCTGCACCTTGACATCGGATTCAACAGTACATATCTCGGCCATCTGTAAGAGACTTGACTCAAGGGACTGGGTGAACATTTCTGATGACGTGTCATAGCAGGAGAGAAAGGACGCCACGCTGAACACAATGCTGTCTGGGGCCTGGGGGTTGTAGCAGCAGCCGTAACCGTCGGGAACAACAGCCCCGTAGCCCATCCAGAAGTCAGAAGTCATCGGGACCTGCAGATAGAAAGACGTACAGGATTTCAAGATGATTTTTGTTTATTTTAAAAACCTTTGGCCCAAACATCCACATATTTAACATATGACTCGGCAAATACATACATTAGTGCAACACGTCCGATAATTTAGATCAAAATTTTAGGGATCATTTCTAAAGTATATGTCATGCTGAGACGTCGAGTGAAATCGATCGGCACGTAAAGTGTACAGAAAGGTAGTGAGGGTAAGCTGAACGGAGCCTTAAAGATTGGAAATTCCAGTCAAGGCCATTTTGCGTGATACTGTGAGAACTGTATTTGCAAAGACAAATGGAACGATTTATATATCATTTATTTTAGTCTTTTGAAAAGGCATGAAGACCCGCTGTGTTTTGGCATTAAAAAGATAAAGTGGAATAACCTTGTTATTTACACTGATTTTTTTCTTTTCTGTTTTCTTTATCTATAATTTCAAAAGGAAGGCAATAACATTTATACTACAACATATTTTAAAAAACCCAACGTTTTTCTGATTTTGTGTGCGATGATTCCAAATGAGCCGGTACATTGCCTTTAGTCTGGTACTGATCGAATATTATATTATGTACCCGCTACCACCTGAAAGAGTTAATGAGTTGTATTGGGACCATTTTTGCGGAGAAGCCCTATCTTTTTTATTTTTCAGTTCATAATGCACTTATATTCTCCCAGTACCTATCACAAAGTACCTCTGTGGTGCTGTCAGGTGGGGTAAAGTGGAATTCTGACGTACACACGAAGAGACTCCCCTGGACCCATTTTTCTTGCAATACACAAAATAAAATTGTAATAACAGTTTCAGTACTACCAGTTGTCACCAAGATGCTTTTCCTTTTCCCCAAATCCTCGTTAGTGTAATATTGTGTTTATTATCGACGTAGAAACAACTTCCGCGTCCCCATAGCTATTTCCTTGCACGAACATGCAAGCGGAAGTCATCTGCCATGGTTTCCTTCCTCCTCACAAGTTCCGGTCTAAATCAATCGATTCTGAGAATTGGTTGGAAATCGATAGCTTCTTCCGTGTTCACGACTTTTCCTGGACGTACCGACCTTCCAAACGGAACTCTTCTGTATGCTGTACTTCCTCTACTCATTCATTTTTATTTCTATTACATTAATTTATGATTTTGCTTCCAGAGAAACTTAAGGTAAGATATTAGTTCTTCAGCTGAGACAGAAAAAGAGGGTGTGTGTGTGTGTGTGTGTGTGTGTGTGTGTGTGTGT